ACTGTTAGCTCTGTCCTTCTGTGGCTATGTCCTTGTCCACGGGCTCAGGAGTCCCCAGGTCTCACCACACATTGGACCAGCAGCCTTCCTCTTTTCTCTCTCATCTCCAGGTCAATGGGAGTCAATGGACCGTGGCTAAATTCAGCCCATTTCTTCATTGCTGCCTTTTCCCCTCTTCCACTCCCCAGTAGACTAACGTGCTTGCCAACAAACTTATATGCCTGCTCATATGTTCTCTTTGAGTTTCAGTCTTAGAGGAGGGGTTTGACCTGAAAGAACTTGTTTGCCTTGATGGCTCAACTAAACTGTCTTTTGAAACCATTCTTAGTTTAAAAATAAAACCATAGATATGTGTTGTTGTTGTTGTTAAGTGCCTTCGAGTCAGTTCCGACCCATAGCGACCCACTAGAGGGTTTCCAAGGAGCAGCTGGTGAGTTTGAACCACCAACCTTGCAGTTCAAACTGCCTTTGCAGTCTAGCGCATTAACTCACAGCACCACACCAGGACTCCATAGATACGTAGTAGGTATTCATATAAATTATCCAAACTGCTTAATATTTTTATTTTATATTAAGATATTTATATTATAGATATTTAATATCTATAAATTTAAAAAATGAGGTGATATATGAAAACACAGTTCTGCTTCTTGCTATTAGAAACTTCTATTTCTTCAGCCACAAGATCAGATCTAGTTAGCTAGACTTTTGTTGTTAGGTGCTTTTGATCCTTTTCAGCTATTACTGACTCTACGTGCAACAGAACAACACATTGTCCAGTAGAAATGCTAAAAGTCACCTATGGTTCATCTATTCTCATACCAGATTTTCTGTTATAATAAAAACTGATCATCTCATCACCAGTTAACCCTGTTTTATCTTTTTTTTTTTTTTTTTCCCTGACATTTTCCTTGACTTACAATATTCATCCACACTTCAGGATTCACTTCATTTTGCAATTGAAAGACTCCATCACCATTTAAAGTTCCACAAATCAAACAGGTTGTTGCTAAAAGCAGCCACATCATGGGAATGCCTGGCATAAAACATTGAATATTCACAGATTAATTTTGTCAATGCAAGTTAATTAATGACATGAAAATAATGCTCTACAAACACTTGAATAATCACCTGAGAAAACTGAGACAGTACAGAGTGGACTAACTTGGGACATTATTATGGATAGTCCCTCTTGCCCCTTAATGTTATGTAAACTTGTCCTCATTTTAAAACAATTTAACCAACCCCTTTGGAAGCCCTATAAAGGGTTGCTATGGGTCAGAATCCACTCCACCGCACTTAACAACAACAAACTAAAAAAAAAAACTTGGAGTCCTGGTGTGGTGCTATAGGCTAAGCACTGGGCTGCTAGCCTCACTGTCAGTGGTTCAAACCCAGCAGCTGCTCCTTGGAAATCCTATACCATGTCACTATGAGTTGTAACCGACTTTACTCGCACTTAACAACAACAAACACATTGTTTCCAGTCAATTCGGACTCACAGTGGCCACCCAGGACAGACTAGAGCTGCTTCATAGGGTTCCCAAGGTTGCAGATCTTTACAGAAGCAGATTGCCTCAACTTTCTCTGCAAGAGTGGCTGGTGCATTCGAATTGCAGACCTGAGCGCCTTTACCACGATGCCACCAGGGCCCTGTGAACCAATCCTTACTTGCAACCGATTCTTTATAACAATCACCTTCACTTGCCACACATGCAACTTTTAAATCAATGAAAAGACTTCAAGCCTTTTCTTGCACTAAACTCACTGCTCTTGAGATGATTCCACCTCCGAGTGACCCTTTAGCACAGAGTAGAACCACTCCATAGGAGTCCCAAGACTGTAAATCTTCATGGGAGCAGCCAGCGTCTTCTTTCTCCCTCAGAGCAGCAGGTGGGTTTGAAGCATCAACATGTCAACAGGTTAGCAGTCCAATGCTTAACACACTGTGCTACCCGGGCTTAAGTAAGAACTGGATTCCTGGTGTGTTGTTACAGGATCCACACTGGACTACAAATCACAAGGTCAGCAGTTCTAACTCACCAGCTGCTCCTCAGAAACCCTATACAGGGTAGCTATGAGTGGGGACCGATTCAACGGCACTTCGCAACAAGAAGAAGTAAGGTCTGTTCTGACTTACCTAAAACTTCAGCATAAAGACACACTTAGGAATGGATCTATTTGTGATCTGGAGACTGTCCAGAATCTATTTCTCCACATAGAATCTGTTGACTTAAAATGAATTAAATCTAATATAGAGGCTTTGTTTTATTTTAATAAAAGTCTGACTTGTTTGATGCTATTGCTAATCTGTGAGTTTTTTGGATACCTAAAAATTCAGTGAGAAAGTTTCCATAGCATAGCAGCAAACAAATAACAATGAGTAAGTGAAACTTCACCCAAACAAACAAGCTGATGGTCAATTCCTACTGATATGACACTCAGAGGCAAAATTTGCACATTCCAGTATGCAGTCTCACTGCCTTGCCATGATTGATTAAACAGGTCTTTCTCCAAAAGAAGCCTGGCACAGCGCAGTGGGATATGCTAGTCTTAGGAATGCTGCCACCAACTGGCCAACTTCACCACAAACACAGTTTTTTAATATTGGGCAAATTATTTAATAACTTTGTATCCTGTATTCCTTGGTGAAATTAGCATAATAATATAATCTCCATCAAAGGTAGTCCTTGTAGGTTAAGCACCGCAGGATAAACACTGGATAGCAAGGTCGATTTGAACCACAAGATGGCAGTTCAAACCCACCAGCTACTCCTTGGGAACCCTATATAGGGTCGCTGGGAGTCAGAACTGACATGACAACACTTACAACAACATAAGGTAGTAGTGAGGATTAAGTGGCATACTATAGTAAAACACTCAGGACAGTATAGGCTCTTAATAAATGCTGTCACTGCTGCTTTAAGAATTAGCACAAGAGGAGTATGGAAGCTCTAGTGCAACCAATCAATGACCGACTTCTAGAATTCAGAGTTTGCTTTTGAAGTTACATTACTTTCCATACACATGTATAGTTGAAGATGATTTTGATATCTATAATTGTTATATCAGTTTGCAATCTTTGAAAACAGTAATGACTATCTTCTACAGAGTGCTGACTTTGGGCCAGGCACTGTTCTAAATAGCAATGGTGGAACAGTGTTAAAACACTCAACTGCTAACTAAAAGTGTGGTGGTTTGAACCCACCAGCAATCCCACAGGAAAAGATGTTCTAGCTTGCCTCTGTAAAGATTTACAATCCAGGAAACCTTGTTAAGCCCCATGCAAATTCCATGAAGTAAGTACTATTATTACCCTTATTTTTATCAATGAAAACACAAAGGCTTAGAGAGATTTAAGACCTGCCCAGTAGGTGACCTAGAACCGGGGTGAAACCCAGACAACCTCAATGCAAAGCCCTCACACTTGCCTGCCAGCTATTCCATCCTAACTCCCAGTTTTGTTCAGTTTGAACCTTACCCAGTTAGATGAGCTTCTTCTGTTGCCAAGGACTTCTTTCTAACTAAGAACGTCTGAACTTTTGTTTTTGGCATCAGGCTGAAGAATGACGTACGGTTGTAGTGACAGTTAGAAGGTAGAGAGATGAGAGACAGGAAGCCTCTGGAAATGAGGAAATCATGGGCTGTGACACACACCCAGGGCGTCTTCCCAACACACTAAAAGCCGTGATGCACTTGCAGGTTGGGAAATAATGGTCTACTTGAGGCCAAACAACCAGTTTGACTGAATCCTTCATGTTTCAACTGAGTATCTGTACTGTTGAAAGGTTCAGCTGTATTTCAAACCAGTGCAGCTCATGGGAAAGTAAAATGTACTCAGGATCTGATTCAAAATCAGAGATAATAACATAACAACTGCCCAGATGTTATTCTTGATGTGAATAATTATAACTAAACTGAGAAGACTGGCAATTCTGAATCCCAACTCATGAATTTAGGAGTTGGAACTGGAAGGACGCACAAACCAAAGGGATTCAGAAATTTAAGATTCTACTTTGGCAGCAGTTGTTGGAATACTGAGCCACAAACTAACCACTGCTTTAAGCAAGGTAGGAGCTCTAGTGGCTTAGTGGTCAAGTGCTCAGCTGCTAACCAAAAGGTTGGCAGTTCAAACCTACTAGCTACTCCATGAGAGAACGATGTGGCAATCGGCTTCTGGTAAGATTTAGAACCTTGGAAAGTCTATGGGGTAGTTTTACTCATCCTATAGTCACTATGAAGGAGCTCTGGTAGCGTAGTGGCTATGAATTGGGCTGCTAACCTCAAGGTCAGCAATTTGAAACTACCAGTCATTCCATGGGAGAAAGATGAGGCTTTCTGATCCCGTAAAGACAGCCTCAGAAACCCTGTGCAGGGTCACTATGAGTCAGAACCGAACCGACTGCATGGGACCTAACAACAACAACAATAGTCACTATGAGTCAGTATTGGCTCTGTGGCTGTGGGCTTGGTAGAGATTTGGGTTAATTAAGTAAAGTAGAAATTAACATCTGAAGAGATAATGAAACCTCTTTAGCTTTGAACCCCACCTGGAATTCCAAATATTGGAAGAATGTGTGCCTTCCTCTTTTATTTCAGTTTGTATGCCTATAGGGGAAGGATAAGCACTGGACTGTTAACCACAAGAAGCACGAATTGAATTCTGGTATGGCACTGTAGGGTAAGCACTTGACCAAAATGTCAGTTTGAACTGCAAGGTTGGCAGTTCAAACTTACCAACTGCTCCTCAGAAACCCTATACAGGGTCGTTATGAGTCGATTTAACGGCACTTAACACTAACAACAAGCATGAAGAAGGTAGGAAAAACTAAGTTGCTGCTCAGCATGATAAAGGAGTTTCAGTTCTTTTAGTTTGGTATGGTCCTCAAATCCTTTCAGAAACAAAGATACTGTTCATATTTGTCCAAATCCTAAAATCGGTTCTACTTGAATATAAAAGCTCCTTCCAATTAAAGAAATGTAGGAGAAAGAGACGCACTCCACTTGCTGGAAAAGGTAGAAAAGTTAAGGACCCTCCATACTCAGTCTTTGATAAAAGAATCAACCTTGTTTTGACCTGACTGATGTTGTTGTTATGTGCCGTGGAGTCGGTTCCGACTCATAGCGACCCTGTGCAGGGTTTCCAAGGCTGTAAATCTTTATGCGAGCAGAAAGTCTCATCTTTCTCCCTGGGAACAGCTGATAGTTTCGAACTGCTGACCTTGCAGTTCATGGCCCGATTCGTAACTACTACACTAACAGAACTCCTTTGACCTGACTGATAGGACATGTCATATGTGTGTGAACTCGTCTGGATTGTCTCATAGGTTATGAATTTTTTAAAATCCCTTTTTAAAGAAACCTCAGTGGACTCCTGGGATAGTTATAGGAAATGCAGTGGTATTCTTAAAGTAGTAATGTTGTAGCTATGACTTCATGTGGACATAGCATGAATACAGTTCAACTTCTTAGACCATTACAGATTAGATATTAGCTCAGATATCAGAAGAATGTCTACACCATTGACACCTTGTATTTCATCTACAACTTTGGGGGTTAACTGAACAATCTGGATAGTTTTTCCAATATTTCATTTCTTTTGCTTCTACAGAAACATAGCTTTATCAAATAAATCAAGTAAACATTTTTTTACAATGTTTTATTCACTCTTTTTATATGTTGTCATTCTTGTTAAATGTCATCAAGTCGGTTCTGTTTCATAGTAATCCTGTATAGGTTTTTTGAGGAGCGACTGGTGAGTTTGAACCTCTGACCTTATGGTTCAAACTGACCTTGAGGTTGAGTGCGTATCCTATGGTGCTGCACCAGAACTCCACTTGCTATTTTGCTAAGTATTGAATGCATTAAAATGAACAGAAATAAAATAAATGTAAAGTTCTTCCTAGGCCCTATGGAATATGAATGATAATCCCCATTCTTTACAAATTCAATTTTTTTCCTGTATTTTTTCATAAAACTAGATGAAATCAAACCCAGAAAGGGATCTTGGGCAAAATGTCCCCTAAAG